CCACCCCCCCTAGTATGTATGATGCATGCATATTCTTAGCCCCCAAGTGCAGAACCTTACATTTATCAACATTAAACCTCATTTGCCACATAGTTGCCCAATTACACAGTGCATTGAGGTTGATAACAGTGCATTAAGGTCAATAGGCTCAATTCACAAAGCTATAACACGTGTTATTTCAGTAATAATCACTATTTTCAACCATGTGACTGTTAATTTCCGACAATTATTTTCTGAAAATATCGACCATTATAGCAGAAAAAAATTATTTTAGCTCAGCGAAATGAGCCTTATTTTCTAAAAGAGGTGGAAGAGTGCACTTATCTAGATGTGGGTAATAGACTGAACCAACTTTAATGTAAAATACCAATATTCTTTTTACTTTCTTGAGTCCTTACAATTAATAATTTTGCTAGGTTATTTCATTTGGTTATGGCCTTAAAGCGTTACTAAACCCCACTATATCTGTACTCCCACAGTACAAAGAACATGGAAATGCAATTATTTTAGTAAATATAAACTACTAAATACCTTTTCACATCAGCAGGTAGTCTTGTGACTTCTATCAGTGTCCAGCAGAACACTGGTTAAAGCTTGTAGGAGGAGTTTTTCATTCTCTTCTCACTGTCCTGTGAGACTGCAGGACCCCTGGAGAGTACTGATTGGCCCTGTGCTGATCACATGCACTCCCCTAAGAATTTTTTTTCTAGCAATACACACCAAACTGAGCATGTGCAGCTTGCCCCCAAGGATCTGTTCTATCAAGAGATGGATTGGCGACAGTAGAAGAAGGGTATGATCAGAGAATACGGGATCAGACATCCTTTTTACAGAATGCAGAGGATTAACCCTTTATGTTCCACAGTGAGTATAACAAGCATGCTTTACTGCATTCAGTCTGATTTTACTAACACTGAGTTTAGTAACACTTTAAAGCATAACTAAACCCAAGAACAAAATGTAATATATTGCAGCTTTCCAGTCCTCAGATGGGGTAGCTGCTTTAGTTTTCTATTTTCTGGATAAGAACATTTTCAACAAGTACAGAAAATGCCTTGGTCTTGTCAGACAATAAGTATCCTTGTCACTTCCTGTGAGATAAACAGGAAGCAAAAACTTTCTTACCTTTCTTGCAAAGACTACTAATCCCATCACCCTACATGTAGTGGAGATAACCAAAGACAGACATATTTGGAACCTGGGTAGCAACCATGACTCCCTTTATAGAGTCAGAGGAGGAATGAGCCACCCAGGGACAGAAAGTGTATTATTTTCAAAATTACAAGGCGAAATAAAAAGGAAAAAAGCCTGAAAAAAGGAAACTAATGCAACCACCAAATCTGGGACCTGTAATTGATACAATATATTTGATTTTAGTTTTGGGTTTAGAAAAATTTTAACTGACAGCATATTGGTAGTTTCGACACTTCAGTGGAGCTCCTTTGCCATATTTCATTTTAGTACACCACTTTTAATATTAATATGTAAAAGGTCAAATAAATCAGCATAGTAAAACTATAAAATACATTAAATCAATAAAAACATTTTATCGCTGGTATTTTTCATAAATATTTTAGAACTGTAGTAAAACTGCTTAACTTTTCCTCAACTTTTATGTCTAATGGACTAGTTATTGACCACTGCAATAAATGCAGCGGATGGGATTTGGGTGTCCACTAATGAAGTTTTTTCCACTCAACTTTTGTAAAACATGGAAGTTCTCTTGTATAATCCTGCCCACCTTCTACCCTTTTGTTTTTTATTTAATTGTTTTAATTTTTAATTTATGTATAAAATTATTTGCTGGCAGTAGATTGCCAAGTCTATGTAGGCCACAGCAACTGATAAAATCTCCATTTTACAATAAATATCCCTTATTAATAGAGGAGGCTCATTTTATACTACAATACTCATTTATAATATATAATTTATAATATAATACCCTACTATTTACCAAGTACTGAAAATTCAAATATTATCCTTTCATAATCAACACACGCACAATACACCAGATATTGCGCACATAAGAAAACAAAAACTATTAAATGTCTTAACTGAAAAACAATTAAACATAAATACGGCTTAAAACGCCAATTTATAAAAGTCAATATCCAAGGCAAGCCACAAAATGTGTAACAGGAAAACTCATATGGCACAAAGGTCTGAAATGATCCGTTAAAATAACAGAAGTCAACATTTGCAGCCACCTAATTTCAAGAAGTTAACAGCACTGGCAATTCATATGCCCACCATAACTATATTTTATCTTTGGAAAAAATAAAAATTAAATTTTTTTTTCAAGTATTAAACTGCAAAACTAGGTTTGGATTCTCTGCATTATGAATATAGAGAGAAATCCTGGGGCCTCAATCAATGTGAATTTATAAGCTGGATGAGGACCATTTATAAACTAGATGAAGGCCACAAAAAAAGAAAAAAGTAGGCTTCACGCAATACAAACAACACCAATTTGACATGCCTGGTGTAACAGAAAGGAAATGTCAGCAGCAGTCCTGCTCATGGCAACAAGGCAACTGATTGGCTGATTGTATCAACTAATCAGATTCATGCTTCTATGTGAAAGTCATTGACGAAACATCTTCGTTACTTGTTATTTACACCAAGCTCGAACCTCCATTCCTACACAAATCAATTCTAAACTCATTCAAATCAGATCTAAAAACGTTTTTTCTTTAGACAAGCTTTCACTTAATTGTCCTTTTTTTCCTTTTTTTACTGTGTATTTTCTTTGTAAAGCGCTTTGAGAAGCTACCTTTTTTATATAAAATAAAGTTTTTATTATTATTATTATTACACAAGTTTTTAAGAAATATCACCAATGTAATTTTTCTAGGCTCCACTGTTGCTCAATATCGTAAATCCTTGAAATAAATGTGGGCAAAAAAACGAATGGAAGTTATAGAATTTTTGTTACTATTAAAAATATAAAATACTTTGCTGAACAAAAAGTACAACAGGGAAATATGACCTATTATCACCCTAAGACATAGAAGATATTGTAATGAAGAGTTAAGGAGGACTCCAACCCAAAATACGCTATTTTAAAAATGTGAAATTTTGTTTATATAAAATATGCGTGCATGTGGCACTTCTTGAAATTAGAACTTACTTTAAACATTCCTTTTAGAGAGCCTAGAAGTAGATTTTCACAAACCTATGAAGATTCTTTTGATCGTGGATCAATGAGGCTACGCATATCAGATTTTTAAACTTGCTGTAGCATTTACTGAAATATTGTTTTTCTTTTTTAATTTTGCCTTTAATTCACTGGTTTTCAACAACCCAACATCTCAAATACATTAGTAAAAGGTACTGCTCAAGGCAGACCAAAAGCCCCGCCACCAGTCACAGGTGCCAAGGCTACAGGAGACACGTCCTTATCTCAAGTACACCATCTGAAAGGAAAAGAACTCAACATCTCAACTACGCTATCATTATGATTATTATTGATATTATTATTTTTAATAATGTAGTGAAACACTTCCTTTTTTTTATTAAATATTGGTAATTATGTAAAATGTTTTGTTATATTTTAAGAAATTTGCCTGCAAATATTTAAAAAAAAAAATAGAAGAAATATAACATATACAATATTTGTTTCATTTTAACACATGCCGATATAGGGTTGTAAAAAATTTAAAATATTCATTTGCTAAATGTTATAGCATAATTTGAAGTTGATTCTGAATTTGGAAATTAAAATATAATATCAATGGTCTAGCTCTGTTTTATGGAACTGTGAAGAGCCTTATATTGGTTTAATTCATGTATTTTTTTTTTTAGCAGTCAGGACCAACATACTTCCCAATATAATGCCTCTGAATTTAATAGTTACATAAACATAACAGTTGAAATTTGTTATATGATTTATTGCAAAAAGAAAAAAATACTTCAGTTTGCCTGGGTAATATATAAAAACGTAGGAAAAACGGGATTTGGCATAAATAAAAGCTGTAAAAAATGCATTTCCCCCAATGTACACAATGGAATTTGTATATGTACAAAAACAGTATTTACAAAACAATATGCAGTGTTCAGTTGCTTAATTGTTTCAATGGTGTTATTTGCATTATCAGAGTTTTCTTGCAATATTTCAATATTCAACTAAATATTACAAATAAAAATTGCATTAAAAGAAGTCCAGTGTGTTAAAAAAAATTGTATACAGATGATATCTTGAACTTTGATTAGAGACGAGAGGACAGTATTGGAGGATATTATTTTTTTCAAAACGCTTGACACCAATTGCTTGGTTAAGGCAGGTTGAGTTATTAAAAATTCAGTCATATTTAATAATAGTATACAGTTTAAGGCATTGGAATAACTGAAATTCTGCTATTTTTCAGGATTACAGTATTATCAGCAGTGTCTTACACTTGGACCACCATAAAAAAGGTTTCAGAGTGAAATATTTTGTTTGCTTAATAATATACGAAAGAATCCTCAGATTAGATTCTTGAAGGGGTCCCCAACCCAAGGGATTAATTCCTCTTCCACATTTTGGCACCTATGGGCACATAACTTGTCTTAACATCCCAAAAAGTGTTTCCAGCATCATTAAATTTCCTGAAATTAAACTTCACTCCCTTCCCTTGTGTATATCAAGCTGTTGACACTGAAGGTGTTGTAGAAATGGCTGTTGAACTGGCTACCCTGATTGGTGGAGCTAGAGAAAGTGTTGTAGTATGGAGCTCGGCTGAGGTGCAAGCTGTCCTGTAGATCTGCAGATGGCTCCACCACAGAGCCTGAGGTGAAACTGCCTAAACCAGTAATGTTCCTCTGGGAGAGTTCATTCACCAGACCCAGAGACATCTGTCTGTTCACAGAGGTGGAGTCCAAGGAGGTCATGCTACTAAAAAAGTTATTCAAGCAAGGGGTAGAGGTGATGGCTGGAGGAGAGGTGCTTTTCCTATCATCTGTGGCCAGTTCCATCTCAGGGGAAGGGGTCAGCATAGATGGACTACCTCTATCTTTCCCCCCTAAAGCAGAGCGACCTTCTTCACCTTTACCAGTGACAGCTTCAACACTGCTGGATTCCGATCTGCGCTTTCTCTTCCTGCGAAAGTTTCCATTATCAAACATTTTTTCTCACAGTTGGGGTCTAGAGTCCAATAATTTCCCTTTCCTGTTAGGAAAAAAGAATAAGACTAAATAACAGAAATATAACTAATAGAAATAAAAAAGTAAGCATTGCCAATCAGTAATCTTGTTGCTAGGATAAGATATTAGTTAACGATTGGAGGAAAACAGCCTATTCACTAAGACGTCATGGGGTTGATTTACTAAAGGCAAATAAGCTGTTCACTATGCAGGAGAATGTTTACAGTATTTTTGTTTGCATATGATTGGACAAGGAAGTGAGTGGAGCTTCACCTCATTCACTAAGCTAAGGGAAAATTCCTTTGCAAAGTGAACAATCCCTTACAAAGTGAACAGACTGTTTGCCTTCAGTAAATCAACCCCCTATGCCTGAATATTTATTGTACTGCAATAATCCATAAAACTTTTTTTTTTTGCAACCATGGAGACAAAAGGTCTTGGTTGGAAAAGTCCCTGTATGAACAATGGCTAATCCTATTGACAAATGTCCACATAAGCTAGAAGGCACTACCAAAGTCACAGATATCTGACAATGAGCGTCTAATGTCTATAGATATCTTAGGGGCTGATTTACTGCATAAAATTATATCTACAATTTTAGGCAAATTCTTTCAGGTTAAGGGAAAATTGTGAATTTCTCACAGCTCATTACAACTCTGTGTTAATATTTTGTGATCATACATTTTTTGAGTACTACTTGCCATCCACTGTCAAAGGCTTAGCAATCAATGGTGGAAACTGCAGAGCTACATGTGCAAATGTTTCCTTTTTGCCATTGTTCCACTGTAGTATTAAATTCATGTACAATACCACCTATACATTACCATAGATCTGTGCCCCCCCAATAAACATAACCCCAAAAAAGGAAAGAAAATAATTATTTATCTTGGAAAAATTAGTAAATTTCCAAATATAAAACTATTTCATTGCTTCAGTAATAAACATTAATAAATATTACTTTATGTTTAATATAATTTTTTATAGAAGAGATCCATAGGAAAATTAAGTTCAGACTTTTGTTTTTACTGCATAAAATAAGTACATGTATACTCGTAGAAACCATGATTTTCAGGTGTTCAAAAGACAGAGGGAACCTTTTGTTGCTCCAGAACTGAAATTGTTGAAACTCACTCAACCAAATTGTTGTTTTAAGTTGCATCCCCTTGAAGTATATAGCAGATACAGGAAAAACATTATAATTTAAAATTAAGGCAGAAGTATAGTGTATTTTGAATCTTGGAAACTAATTTTTGTGCTCCAAAATCTACTTAAAATAAAAAAAAAATATATATATATATTACCTGGGTCATCCTCATCTCTTGGAACTTTCTTGAAGCAGTCATTAAGGGACAGGTTGTGCCGGATGGAATTCTGCCAGCCCGCTTTGCTCTTTTTGTAGAAAGGAAAGTTGTCGGCCACATACTGGTAGATCTGGCTGAGAGTAAGTTTCTTTTCTGGGGCATTTTGAATGGCCATGGCAATAAGAGCTGAGTAGGAGTATGGTGGCCTCACAAGCTTCAGCAGTTCTTCCTGGGAGGCTATGGATAACCAACCAAGGTCCGTCCCTCCAAAACTTGATGAATTTGGCAGGAATTGTCTCTGGGATCCATATGATGGTGGCATGTATGAAGCTGAGTTGTTGCCATGAAGGTAACTCGGTGAACTGTTCACTCCAGGCCCACCAAGCCACAAATAGGGGTTTGTTGATGGCGTATAATCCCCTATCCCATAATTGGGTGCTCTCTGAGAAGTGTGCAGATTCTGCTGGTGATACATACTGAAATTGTCGCAATACACAGCCATCTCCGTTGCTTCTTGGGCACTTTTTGGGTGAGGTTGCTGGTGTAGAGTTGCAGATCTCTGGTGAGCTGCAAGATGAATTGAGTTCATACTCTTTTAAAAGCACCTTCACACATTCAGGTGCTTCTGGCAACAGGTGCCTAATGTATCTGGAGTGCTGTCTTTATACATCTCCAGTGAAGTGATCCTCCCTGCCTGAGGCCAGCGATGGGTGTGCTTTGAGAAGTTATTTCATTCTCAACAGCCAGTTGGATGCCTCAGTTGAAAGACAGGGGAGTGCAAAGTGAAGGGTTGATCACCAAAGAGGCACCAGGAAAAACAATCTGTCTTTTCTCATTCATTGTCCTACTGATCTGTCTGCAAAGACACTTTTTTTTTTTTAACATGCTGACTATTTGGATTTTGGGAGTTTAACTAAAAGTTGTTTTCCTCAGCTTCAAAAGGCAAGTGTTGAACAGAATAGAACTTGATTAAATATGTGCTTACAAGGCATCTATTAATGTATTATTTTGTTTTTCTTTCCTAATGTATTTGCTATACAAGGAAATTATATACTATTTGGCGTTAATAGCCTTGTATGTAAATTTTCAGCAGAAAAAAAGAATATGAACATCTCTAAATCAAATACAGAGCATCACTAAATCATTCACAAAAAAAACAATTCAACAATTTGCAGTACAGTTTCATAAAAGTTAGTTATTCACCTTTATTTTTTCTATCAGTTTATTTTATCCCTTAAGTCATGAATTCTAAACGCATTAACATTTATGTTTATATATGAGTTCATTCTTGTTCTTTGATTGTTTTTATATCTTGAATACTCATAAACTTCTAAATAAATGTATTTGTTTTTTATTTCCTCTTTAAACATTTTATGTATGTTCTGCAATATAGCAGAACATGGTTTTAAAAGGAGTGTATTTGTTTGCTAGTAATAAAATCAAGGGAGTGCTACTAAGCAAACGTAGTTTTTATGAAGCTGTTTAATCCTCAATTAAATTTGTATGAATTTCAGCACTGTTATTAAATTGTTACAGTTAATTGCGAAAAATCTTTGAGTTGAGTTATTTGGGTCTCTCCCTCCCTCTCCCAATCTCTTTCTCTTTTTTTTTTCTACATTTAAATATATTATTATTATTGTTATTATTATTATCTGACATTAATTAACTTAAGCTAAAATATATCACCTCTATGTGCTAGCAAAATGGATATTTGTTTAACGAGACATTTGCTGTTGTGACAATTCTGTAAACTTTTTCTTTACTTTCTTTGACAAATGATCAAATCAACGGATTTCATGAATATTACATAAGTGTAAGTTTAAAGCATATGTGGAAATGACAGCCTGTGCCAGTTTTATAAATAGTGCATAAACTTCCTTAATAAATTTTGCATGAATTTAGAAGTCTGACAATCATTTTTGCAGTTTTCAATATTAACCTCCACCTGTTTAATGCTAGAAGGTGATTACAGCCTACGTATGATATAGATAGATAGAGAGATAGCTAGATAGCTAGATAGCTAGATAGATAGATAGATAGATAGATAGATAGATAGATAGATAGATAGATAGATAGATAGATAGAGAGATAGCTAGATAGATAGATAGATAGATAGATAGATAGATAGATAGATAGATAGATAGATAGATAGATAGATAGATAGATAGATAGATAGATAGATACAACATAGTTAGATAGCTATAGATAGATAGATAGATAGATAGATAGATAGATAGATAGATAGATAGATAGATAGATAGATAGATATATAGATACAACATAGATAGATAGATAGATAGATAGATAGATAGATAGATAGATAGATAGAACATAGATAGATAGATAGATAGATAGATAGATAGATAGATAGATAGATACAAGATGGATAGATAGATTGATAGATAACATTTACTTAGAAGAATTATTAAGCAAACTGTCTAATGTTTTTTAAACTTTCGGGCATATACAGTAAAGAATTATTTCTGTAGAATCTGTGGCAAGAAAAAAAAAGTTTCATTTTCTGAAATGTTTAATGCAATAGGAAAAGTAGGTTTAAAATACAAGGCAGTATTTTGTTGAAATTATTATTTTTTTCTTTTATGGCATAAAAAAATAATTCTTACAATGTTTTAATGACACAACAATAATATAAACAATAACATATCATAAATGGGTGCGTCTTACTGATATTGATGCTTTTTTTTATTACTGATGATAATAATGATGGTTAATATTATTTTTTATTATTTTACAATACATGTGTAGATAGAGTTAAAACTTTTTTTTTTTAGTTTTGCAGATAGTAGGGAGATAGTATAGGAGATAGTATGGAAATATACAAACCTCTGTCAGGTTTTTATTGTTGTCTGCGTCTCCACTGGGGAGATATTACCTCTCTGTTTGAACTGATGACCATTGTCACTGATTCCAGTGATAGGAAATAAAAAATGTTACAGTTGTCACCAGAGCAGGAGGTAAGGAGAAATCTTCCAATGGGGACGCCTGTTTTGGTGACAACTGTCTAGGATGGGAAATCCCTTCACTTTGTAGACTTTTTTTCTCCCTGCCTGATGCATGTCAGAAACAGAAAGTGAAGAGAATCCCCCCTCATAAAATTAAAAACAAAATACTGAGATTTTAACCATTCACTTCTCTATACAAATCTAAAAAGGAAATGTTTGAGTCATACTTACACTTTAAAGACAACCACATACAAAACATATCTGGGTATGCCTGTGCTACAGTCTATATATTGGATTTCACCCTGCAGTACATATTCCTTATTAATAAAAATGGCTGGTTCTTTAATTCTATAACTTTGGTCATTGCTTTTCTATATTTTTATACTTTAAATATAAAATTCATAACTGAAATCTCAGACATGAAACTTTGCAGACAAGTACTATTTTTATGTTTTTCCTACCATCTGGGACACCTTTGAAAACGGCTGTGAGCACGTGCAGAGCTCCGGCCCAAAGGATTAATGTTCTATGGGTGGAGCTGGGGTAAGTGTTGATCCTCTGACAAATTGCTAAACTCTCTGGGTTCCATCCGGAAAGAACTGACGCTTTATGCTGAGTAACAGGTCTGAGCCTTACTCTTTGCCCTGCGCTCAGCAGTGTAGTGCATTGGGAGCGGAGCAGAGGTCTGCGTTCTTAAAGAGACTCACAAAAAAAACACAACAAAAAAACTTCAGGTGTGAAGTTTGGGTTACTGGAGGTCCACATACCAGAAGCAGCCTCCACAGTCCTACCACTAGGGCTGAATCTGGGTCATTCTGACAAACCACACTACCCAGAAGGTAACGGAGGAGCACATTTTTAGAGGCTTCTATAGGTTTTCATACCCATAGGCATCATACCTGCAACAGTGTTTTTTCCCTTTTTTAGCTCACAGATTCTCTTTTATTACCAATTATTAAAGTAGAACCCTAGATTTGGATAAAGTGAAGAAGGGTTTGATCTGGTTTAATTTTTATTGTTGTCTATATCCTTGTTGGGAAGGTCTACCCTAACATTTGTTGAGCTTTGTGGGGAAATCAAACATTTCATGGCTCTTAACCTCCCTAGCGGTATGATTATTTCAGATTTTTGGTGCTGAAAGCGGAACCATTATTTTGCATGGAAATATGTAGTTTTTTTATTGTAGGCTGTAATTTTTAGGAATAACTCACTGAAATCTGTCCGAACAAGAGTCTATTAAACATCCCGGGTATGATAAAATTTGAAACACAAAATCATAAATTATAATTTAATAAATAATCATAAAAATAATAATACAAAAATAATACATTTAATTCACTAATATAATCAAACTGAAAACACTGAAATTTGAAATAGAGCGCCAAGTTCGCACATTGATGAGCAAAGTCGCAAAATCGTTTTCAGTGTCTGATGAGGAATTTCCCCACAAATCATTATCACTCAATTCTGCAAGTGGTTCTGATTTACTATCGCTGTTCTCTAGCTGATCTAAACCCGCTTTTGACCTAAAGGGACACTTTTTGGACGCCATGGAAGTGTCTCAGTTTCCAGGCAGAAAGAACAGACAAAATGCAGGCAGGGCACAGGACAAAGCACTAGGGACAAAATGTATGTGAAATGGGTTGAAACAGCAATGTTTTACTATGTAAAATTTGTTTGAAAAAAAATGAATTTTTTTAAAATTTTCAAATTTCCCGCCGCTCGTACGTCCCGACGTCACAGGGACCGGAACACCGAAGCCGGATGCCGGCATCGGCCGGAGGAGATGGCCGGGGACGCTGCAGGGGACACATCGCGGGACCGAAGGACAAGGTAAGCTCTGCAGGGACTCCCTATGCAGCGCCGCATGGTAAGCCCGAGTGTAGCTCGGGGTTACTGCTTTTGGTACTGACATTTTACCCCGAGCTACACTCAGGAATACCGCTAGGGAGGTTAACAGAGAATCCAACTGGAACCCCTGTTTTGGTAACTAAAATAAAAGGTGGGATTCTTCACCGTAGAGTGATTTCTGCTCACTTTCTGTCAGGACACTGGCACAGGAAGTGAAGGAAAGTTTCCTCGAACACCTGACCTGAAGGTTTCTCACCTTTCTTCACCCTAATTATAAAAAACTAAATCCTGGGTTCAGTTTTATTTTAACAATTTTATTTATGTAGCACGCTCCTAGGGTTAGATAGATAGAATAAGTTATGTTTTTGATAGGTATATTTAGTTGTCACTCTGTAGTTAGAATGACTGTAATTATTTGCTGGGTAAAAGCATAGTTAGCTCTCTGTCCTTGGTGAGCTGTGATCATTTAGTAAGGTCTGCTCTGTTTGCTCAGCTTCTGCCAGTCTGCCTATAGCTTCCTCTGTATCCAGGAAACTTGAGATGTTGAGATGTTTCTGGATGATAGGTGTGGAGCTATGCAGATGGCCATTGGAATATTGATACAGACCCAGCCTATCCTAGAGAGACTTGCTCTGATAGCATGCTGGGTAACTGTATATATTCAGACATTCAGCACACTGAGTTCTGG